TAAGTAACTACTTTCCTTCAAGTCTGTCGGCACTACTTGGGTGTATCCCATTCCCTGCAACAGTGGATGATGATGGTCATTTAAAGGGCTTTCTCAAACATCATGATCATGGTCTATCGACTGCGACAAGTCCTGGGGCACACGCCGAACCGAACTGCTAAGTCTTGGGGACGTCCACCGAGTCCACCGCAGCAGCGCAGCTCCGAGCCACTCGCGGTTTCCGCGTCACGTGGAACATCCGCCCGAAGACCGAGTCCGACACAGTCGAGGCCGTCGCCGACTGCTTGGACAGTCGGGAGCGACCAGAGGCCAAGGAGGAACGAGAGAGGCGGGAGGAGCTTGCCTGGAAGAGGCCGCTTTTTTGGAAGTTGTGGTTGCTATTAGGAACCAGAAGCTACTAGGGGCTCCTGGCATCGCTACTGGGAGCAAGGACGCTACTAGGGGCTCCTGGCCGCACTTCTAGGAGCAAGAAGCTATTAGGAACCAGAAGCTACTAACAAGGGCATTGCTACCGCTATCAGGTTGGAGGCCACTGCTATTAGGAACAAGAGTGATTTCCCGTGCTGGAACCAAAGAGACCGAAATTGGAGGTTTCTGGTTGATACATGTTGAGTTTCTCAACTCCTGTGGTTTCAAGATCTTGGCCAAGGAACCACCGGTGAAAGAGCGATGGCGCATGCTAAGAGTTGAGGAACATATCTAAGACTTTTGTCAACCGTATCAAGCATTGCGCACAACAAGTTGATGGCTGCGGGAAGGTGCTGTCAAACGATGGCAGGGAAGTGGGAACCAAGTCTCACATCTTGAGAGTTCAGATGTATCCCATCCTGGTATTTACTTTTAGTCTCTAACGTTCAAGAGCGGAGGGGCGGCCAACTACCACAGTACATACTGTAACTCATACTGTACTAATGTGCACTGTTCAGGTCTGCTGAGCAAGATGATGTCTCTGGAACAAACGTGGATGGCATGGCCTGTTGGATGACAACTTTTCTGCAAACAAGTGGTTTTCCACTTCCATGATCATTTCAGGGAGTGTAACATCTGCAGAGTTTGATTGGAATCTTCTAGAACCTGATGATGAACCTGGGCAGTCTGCTTGAGAGCTCCAGAATGCTTATCACAGAGTTGGAGCTGGTACGATCTGAGGGGAGAGGCAGGTCATCATTTTAGATTACTTCGAGAGACTGGTAATTAGCCTGTTTTTCTTGGAGTCTCCTCATCCATTCGGATCACCAAGCCACTAAGCCTGTGTTTTTCTCTATGTATTCTTCCACACCCATAACAATGCTTGGTTTCCTTTCTCTTCATCCCAAGGCACCTTCTCTCGATCCCGGAAGTTGGGAGGCACCGCTTTGTTTTCAGGAATCTCCGCATGAATCACACTCGGCGGCCGTGCCCTTGGGCTGGAAGGCATAGGAGTTGACGCGCTGAGCTGGGCCTCCCAATAGGACGATAACGTTCCTGAAAGAGTTCCCTCACCGCCGTCCTCCACCTTGCACGTGGTTTTGCCAAGCTCGTCCAGCTTTCGGAGAAGCCGCTCCTAGTTGTTGCCGCTCCCAAACAAGGGTAATCCCACGAGTCTGTCCAGGGTGACTTTAGAGGAGCAGTGACGAAAATGACATGAGAACCCCTACTACAAGAGAACTTATGATAACATATGATAACTGTTCACACGATCCGCATGGTTTGTTTCTCGCCTTATGAAGTTATGAAGCTCATTAGAAGGGGTATACCCCGCATACCCTTGCCCATATGTGCATGCCCAGGAGCGTTATTGGCGAGCAGGAGTGCATCCATACGGCTCTCCCAATCGGCGGTCCAGTCATTCGTCTCTGACTCCACTGGAGTATGCATCGGCACACGTGACCTGTGCCTCAAGTGGTCCATGTGTCTGGCGACTGAGCCCAAATGCATCGAGACGTGGACCATGGAACAGCCTTTGGGATTCGAAACCCAAGAAAGGACCACATTGGAACAGAACAGCGTGCTATCACTAAAAAGACCACTCCTTTGATCTCTTTTGGGGACAACTTGGTATCGTTGGTATCTAGCGTCTCCGAATGTACATCGCTTCGGAATCCATTGTCAGGTCGGTGCCGTCGAATTGTCAGGTTGGCCGTCACAGCCGCCCGTCGTCGAAACCCACCAGCGGGATGCATCGGCAGGTACGACACGGATGGTCATGGACGGGCATGTTCACACCATTATCCATGATGGTTTGGGCATCGCTACGAACGGAGCAAGGATGCTACTATAAGGGCTCCTGGCCTTACTAGGAACAAGAACGCTACTAGGAGCAAAGGGCATCACGACGAACGGAGCAAGCATGCTACTAGGGGTTCCAAGTCCATTTTGGTTGACCGAAAGAGGGGATCAACCTGGCGGAGCACAGTGGTACCTCTGCACCTCCCGTGCTTTTTGAGGGGTATCAATGTTCCAACAATCCCTACAGCACTTTGGATGCACAAAACCCAAGAGGCTTGTCCATGAACCATACGAAGAGTTTGACTGCAAAAACGTCCATGCCACCTTTTTACGCACCGCGATGCTGTTCGCCGCGTTGCTCGAAATTGCCCTAAAGCGACGACTCCCGGAGGCGCCGAGAACCTACATCGCCCTGTCGACGGAGGGCGTTGAAAAAGTGATCCGGAGCGAACGTCTTGCAACGGTGTGGCCCAAACAACTGCGGACATGTGCGGTGCATTTATATAATTGATCTGCAGCACTTGCACAACATATGTGGGTCATATCACAAAGTCAGTTAGGGGAACACCAGAAAAAGGCGATGCTAGGCAATCTAAAGAACACTTAAAAATTGTATTCTGGCCATTTCTGGCCCGTTGTCCGAATTGAAGCTCAAAGCCAATCACCTCGAATCACTTGGCCGACTCTGAGGGCTGTGAGCTGGCATTCCTTTTGAGCTGTTGAGTTCCTTCTTGGTTCAAAAACACCGGACAAATGCCATGGCGGTGCCATGGCGGTGCCGCCAGCGGTGCCATGACGGTGCCTATCCTGTCCAAAAAACTCTTTAGATGGATACAGTCAAGGCATCCGTCAAGTGTGCCTTGGGGCCGAAATGCTTCTGAAGAAGCTGCTCCATTCCTTGAAAGCCGATCTTAACCACAGCAGGCTGATCCGGACGAACGAACGACTGGTCGACCGATGTTGTGCTTTAAACCAACTGGCATCAAGCTCAAAGGAACATGGCTTAATGGATCCCCACTCAAGGATGCAAATGCTCTAGTCATAGGCTGCCGAAGGCTGTCGAGTCTAACAAACACCAGGCATGACTTGACCTCATTGAGGTTTTCAGTCCTCTTCCTGACCTGAGGGATTCTGTATATAGCTCTCTGAAGCAATGGGGATGCAAAATCGACGCTAAGTTTTCTTGGTGGCAAACTTATGGGTCACGAGGCTGGAGAGCCCTAACTTCTGCAACAAGTGTTCCAGTTCTATGAGGCTCTGATGGTTCTCTATATATGAGTATATATATATATATGAACATATATCATGCATCTACCAACCCTATCTTCTGAATACCCCATCACTACTAACCCTTGGCTCTAATGCTAAAGACAGTCCAACATTACGTGATGCCCTAGGTGTATGCCAAACAAAAAACAAAACACCCGGCAACCGGGTCAACAGCGCCGCCAAGCGGCCCAAGAGCTTCTTCCGCGTGCGTCGCTGCTCGCGTATCATCAAGGAGACGTCGATGGCGCGGGCCGGGCCCTTGAGGCGCATGCAACCTTCGACGAACTCCGAGGCCTCCAAATCACCACTTCCTGAACAGGAGCAAAGGGCATCGCTACTACGGGCTCCCAAGAAGCTATAATATGAAGAACTTTCAACACACCAGATTTCACACGCACACAAAAAGGACGAGGAAACCTAAGAATGCGAAAGTGAAAGCCAGCACATGTTTGTCTCGTAGCAGCATTGTCACATGGACCCTTGAGATCTTTTGATCTGATTGACATCTGTGGCAGAATGGGGACATATGGGGCGACAGCACGGGGAACATAGACGGTACAACTTCCATGTATATATACATATGCAGATAATATATTTCAATATATTGATGCATAAAGGTCCCATCTAACAGAGTTGTGCCACTTCCCCACTCTGGACAAGATCTCAGGCAGGTATGCGGCCAATCTCCTGAGACATCCATGAGGTTGAACAGGGTCCACGCATCCTTTGTCTCCACGTCCAAGGCCTCGAAAAATGAACCTGAAAGATTGGGGCACAGCGAGCAGCGATCAAAGAGGTTCAACCTGGAACTGGAAAAGGGCAGGAGGGTCACTTGCGCATCGCAAAATGGGTCACTTGCGCATCGGGGGCCACTTGCGCATCGGAGAGTCACTTACGCATCGACCGCATCGACCCAGCGGGTCACTTGCGCATCGATGGGAAATGATGGTGAGATGTGGGAATTGTCAATGAATCCAAACAATTTGGCCCACGCGGCCACATCATCACATCTTACCTCCGGGTGGGGTGGGGTGGGGGCGTGGGGTGGGTGGGGATCTAATGGAATGATTGGCCCACGCGGACACATCATCACATCTTACCTCCGGGTGGGTGGGGTGGGGTGGGGTGTCAACATGGATCGGCTGACAGACTAGCAAGAGCATGCGTCGCACAAAGTGCACCTTGAGCCACAAATGTTGGCAGTACGCATTGTCTAAGAGTATCATAGAACAGGAACCAAGGTGGAATCTAACAGCATGGAAGAAGATACCCGACCTCTTCGATGTAGGTAGATACATATATATAGAGAGAGAGGCATATATATATATATATACAGGGGTGTCTGAGCTCAAGATAAACGACAAGGCCGCAGGTAGTTTCTCTGAGTGCTTCTCAAGGTCTGTCTGTCAACGCGCATTGCGATGCAAGGCGCTAGGCAAGGCACTGTACTGGTCTCGGAGTAGTAGTAGTAGTAGTAGTCGTCGTCGTCGTCGTAGTAGTAGTAGTAGTAGTGGTAGTGGTACTAGACGCGACGCACAAGCGACCCAAAACGTGACGCACAAGCGACCCAAAATGCGCTACACAAGCGACCCTAGAAAAGGCTAATGAGACATTTCCAAACATGTCCTAGTCGCTTCTTCTTACTATATAGCAGCGATGGCCTCCACCCTGGCCTCCACCCTAGCACCCTAGCACCCTAGTCAGGTGTGGCATATGATGCATACTCTTTTGGATGCGCCGTGCAACAACCGGGTATGTGGTCCCTCTTGCAAGTGTGGGGACAACATTGTGTCCTGTGTTAAACAGGTACGCATTCCCAAACTTGGATAAGTGTCGTTTGCAAGCTCCTACCTGCTCTGAAAGGTTGCCACAAATCAAGGGACATTCACCAACCGCACACGGTATTCCACCAGTTGACCCGGAGTTCAGAAATGACACCGAGAAGAGAAACAACTACCTTGACTTGTGTGCCATTTCCTCTAAAATGGCTTGCAAAACAAGGCCGCACATCGTCGCCCTTCGTTGTGCTGGCGAGGAGCGGATGTGCGGTTTGCAAAACAGTTCCTCAAACTCCATGAAGGTCAGGTTACCAGTAGGTCTTCGTCCAAGGTCGTGCCTCAGAACGTTCCGAATTTTTGGCAAACACTCAGGGTATGGAAGTTGCGCTGTTGTTAAATGTTGTTATAACTAAATAGGTCAAATATGGTCAAATGCCAAGAAAACACACAAAACGCATATTATGTCTTGAAACTCGTTGCTGAAGCCTCTCAAACATGGACATGAACGTCTCAATCTGTTGCTGCTTGGTGCTCAGAACGGTTTGAATGTGTAGCTCTTGGTCGCGTTCAGCACTTTCCTTTCGGGACAGTGTGTCTGGTCTCAGCACCCACAAACCAATATGAAAAAGGGGACCCGCGGCACAGGTTAAAGAAAAAAACGAAAACAAGAGTAAAAATGCACTCGTTTCAATATCTGGCTGCGATTGCAGATTGGCAGAACCTCACACACACATGCGAAGTATGACAAGTGCAAGCCCAAAGTGCATCTAAAACATCACAATGCAGTCAAACTCTGAGACGATTGCATCACGAAACCCAACAAGTTGACAGTCACGCCAAGACTCATTCCAGTCATTACATTGAGGACCGCGAAAAGGCCTTGGATTCCGCACTCGTCGGATGATCTCGGAACACCGGGAACCGCGGTCCCCACGGGCCCAGCGGGACTGCCACCGGAAGATGTGAGTAGAGCTGTCCACAGAAGTGTGGCAAAAGCAAAAGGCCAAGTGGAAGTGAAAGAACATGAAAGAACCATACATTTTGCAGTTTGCATGCAGTGCTACGTTCGCATACACTTGCATAGACTTTCTTCCTAGCTCTGCCACCCAAACAGCTCATGCTCTCCGGTGAATTATCAGCAACAACAACAGCTGCATACATTCTTCTTCTTCTTCTTCTCCTTCTTCCCGCTGCATGTCATCTCATGGTCCGATTCTGCCTGTTAGCCTGTGTGATTGCTGTGCCTGGCTCTCTCTCTCTCTCTCATTTGTTTTGTTTGTTGCGAAACGCAGTGTGCGCGTTCTCCAACCTTGTGAATCAGAAGCTTCAAACTACTGTAAGGCTTTGTAAGGAGGACTCATCTCGAATGACTTAGCAAACATTCGCCAGCCTAGCTTGCGTGCTACGTCCTTGTTTGACAGCAAGAGCAGCCTGAAAGCATGCCAGTAGCTTCAATTAATTGCACATTGGCCATCATTGGCCTATACAGGTCTTGCCAAGTCGCAGAATGCAATGTATGTCACATAGAGATAGCCCCAAATACGGCTCAGCTCATTCAACTTGTCGGCCACTTCACCCCACGCAATCCCATTGCAAATACTTTGGAACAATGTCATGATTGACCGCTCCAAATCCAGGAAGTGTTCCCGAATGAATTTTAAGTTAGCTTCACTGATCTCCTCAAAACCACGAGAATACTCGCTGCTCACATCGGTGAAGACAATCGCAAAGACATACCTGAAGAAAAAGGGCGTGTAGACGATTGCGGACCACAAAGGCTCTTGATCGTGGCTCTGCTCAGTGATATTATATCGAATCCATTCGAATCCTCTAGCGGAAGAACTGGAAGGGTCCTACAGCCCACGAACAAAAGAACAGAGACGAAACCTCTGCAGGTCATCAGGTCGCATCAGGTCTTCAGGCCAGTAAAACGAAGCTCGGCCCGGCCGAGCGCCGCCTAAGGCCCTCACATGATCATCACAAGGAGAAGGACTGACCACAGCAAGACCTTCATGGTACAGAAGATCGAGTGCACCTCACGCGACCGACCGGTGAGCAGCGGTTTTGGGGCACGCGGCCGTGACACGAGGACGCGGGCGGAGCCCCAGATGATGTGAGGCCTTTCATGGAAGGAGGTGCCGCGTGCCAGCTCAAATGAAGGAGGGAAGCCATTGCCAGCTGAGGCACCAAAGACCTGAGGGCCCTGATGAAGCGGACAATCTTCACAATGCGCACCACTCGAATAATCCTTGTCAATCGTAGGATGCGGATAATGCGCATGTTTCCAGATGCCTCCATCAGCATTGACTTGGAGGCAGAACCAAACGCAAGCACACAGGTTTGAAAGGGCTGGCGCCGGGCAAAGACTTACAAACAGGGCCAAAATGCAAAAGTCATCCAACATCGAGCAACATTGTTCCATTCAAAATCGATCATCTTGTGTGTTGCCTATTGGTTCCAGCAACATGTCTGTTTCGGTGTCCCTTGCCTTGATGGTCTCAGCGTCCTGGTTTGAGGTGCTGGCAACTGCGGAGACCAAATTCAGGACTGAGGTGGCGTTGATCATTAAATCCAAGTAGTTCCTGGCCAAGGCATCCGTGTCGTCTAGTCAATCCGAATAGGTGCATCCTGGGGCCTGGGGCCACTCTGAATGTAAATGGAGCCGGCCCCAACTGGTCAAAAGCACCCTGGATTCCATTTATGTCAAGGAATTCAGCAAAATACATTAACAGCTTCTTCAACAACAACCTGGAGTGAATGAACAAGATCTCTAGCAGTGGAGGTCAAGAGGCTTGCCTGTTCCCATCATTTGAGGCTTCATCGCGTGCAGGCGTTGGATGATGAGTTAGTGAGTCACCCCATGTCCATCTGCAAAAGTTATGCCACTCATGATTTGGTCCATCCCCAGCCTATTTCCAAAGCTCAAACCGGTGCGGTTGAGAGTTCTCTTCTTGCAAGCAAGCTGCCATGCGATGTTAGGAGACTTGAAGAAGAAGGGGGGGCCTCCTTCCGAGATCATCCGCAGCACGAGCTCAATCAAAAAGAGAGCAGCATAGATCCTCAGGCGCAAACACCTGATCAACAAGCGTTGGACTCCTGATGTAAAGCTCCGAGCGTCTGGTCAATGTAGAAGAACGCGGAGGGCATTGCGCTGCCAACATGATGTGCTGCATAATGAACCTCCACGGTGGTTTGGATCTTGGAACGTACTTAGATGGATCTACTGGAAGCAAAAACAATTTGTATCACCTGCAGTGCTTGTGCATGACATGCCTATTTAAAAGTATTGATTTAATCTATATAATGAACCTTAATCCCCCATGTCCACCACTGCATCAACCGCTTACAGTACCAAACCCTGGCCCCCACTGATTGCTTGGTTTTTGTGATTTGCGTGTTTCAATCCTTTTGACAACCCTTCTGCCCTTGATGAAATTGTAGATTCGTAGATGGACGTACCTCCAAGCAATGGGCCCACAAAGTGTTCAACAAGGCGCTCTTAGGATCATTCATGGCTTCGAGCAACCTGTGCACTGAGCCTCCAATTTTGATGAGTGAGGGGCTCCCCAAACAGCTCGCGCGCAAGTGCTTCCTTGAGCTTCTTCGACTTTTTTGCTTTCGACAAAGATACATACGTTGGGTTAAGTTGTAATGGATTGTAGGAACCTGGGGTCACTGACTTCCTGCTACCGCTTCCCAAAGGTCACGGACTGCTACACCTTGCGCATCAACGGACTGCGGATGCGCAATCGAAGCTGACCATATACTTTAGATTAGGTCTTAGGTAATACCGGAATGGGGGGCCTTCGTGAGTCCTGACGAGGAATTTGGGAACCTCAAACCGGCCCCTAAATGAAGGTTTTAATCTGTTGCTTGTGGGCAAGTTCATCCTCATCGGGTACCAAGTACTGGTGGGATCTACTGTATATATATATATAGTAATTATGTGTGTCTGTCTCCACGAGCTAAAGACCTTCGACTGCCATTACCTTCCGCGACCGTAGTGATCTGTGATACTGGAGACAAACCTTTTCATCAAGGCACTGAGAAAAAACAGAACATGTCCGCGTAAACGCATGGAGTTTCAAAAGCCATTCCACCAATGAAACGCTTGGGTTAGGCCTCAATCCCAATAAAAATCGAGTTGGAGAAGATCGCCAGGGCGAAAAAGGCTTCAAAGCTCCAAGAAGCCACAAGGCTCCTGAGCGCGTGACCCGCGCGCGTGAAGCGTGACCGGTCGCGCCGGAACCGGGAACCGCACTGTGAAACAGTGGCAGAAGCCGACTCTGTTGCTCGTGATAGACATGGTAATGGTGACGTGCCAGTGAAACTGAGTGCCAGTGAAATCCGGTTTTCAAGGGTTTTCAGTGGAGCTTTGGCCGGTTTTGGCCCTGTGACTGCCATCATTGTCAGTAGGCAGCACTCTTCTGGATGCTTCTGAAGGGGTCTCTGACTGGCAAATAGAAAATGTAATGTCTGTTCTAACCTCACAGATTGGCCGAGTCCCCATCTTGGCCAACACCGACAGTGGTCATGAACTTTAAGTTGAACGCATCAATAGGACTAAATATAAATAAAGGAACATAAAGGAACACACCTTCATGCCCACACACCATATTTTGGTGCATGGGAAAGGGAAGGAATGACGCGGGCCGTAAGAGGAATAGAATGACGTGGGCTTTAAAAGGAATAGAATCGAACGGCAAGAAAGAAATTGTAAGGCAAACAAAAATAACAACTCAAGTAAGGAAAGGGAAATGAGCGGGAATGAGCATGTCAACAAAACCAAACGATAATTCGCATGAGTATGCATGAGTAAAGGAAGCTGAACAAATGTGCGGCCCTGCACCTCTCTTTCGGTCGTTGAGTAGCATCGCGGGATGATGAGACAGTAAGAGTCATAATAAGCTTAAGTCTTTCATCTTGGATGGCGTGGGAGAGGAACACGCCAACATCTTTCTCTTGGGGGGGGCATTGTCTTGGCTTTTGGCATGCAAACACCCACCTTCACCGTGATGGACTGATATTCAAAAAAAGAGCTTAACACTCGGCAAAGGGCTCGAGCGATAGCCTCGATGGATAGGCAACATCCCCAAATCAAGCAGCGCAGCAGGACCTCCAAAACGATCGCCCTAACTTCTAGGAAAGCGCAGGCGTTCCAATAGTCCACTAAGTCTGAGGAATATTAGGGGGTTCAACAGCACTGTACTTCACCAATTGGCACACCAAGCCCAAGCCCGCATCTGTCCTAATGGATGAGGATAGGGACCTGGAATCACCACTCTCCCAAGATTTGGTGAGCCTTGGCTGCAAAAGTGAGGTGCAAAGTCAAACTGTCAAAGAACACGACTGTGCTTCTTCGAATGGTGAGACCATGTAAAACCCCTTCCCCAATGAATTTACAGTGGCCTTGGGAGAGTCATTCAATCCAATCCCAATACAACAAGCTGGCCTCAATCTTCTGCAAACTTCCAGGGGTGGAATGCTTTCCACGAAAAAACTGCACCTCCCCAGTGCCTCCAAGCTGCACCTCTTCTTCTGACATCCGCTTTTGTGACTCCCTGAGGGTCTCTTTGTGCATCTGCTCCTCATGCGTATCAAAGGAGGTCATGGACACCTCAGGGGTCAAACGCTGCGAACAACGACCGTCGGGCGAGTGAACCAAATGCCACATGAAACCTGCTCCTTCAGGGATAGCATAGTTTTCGGCTAGATGGGTCCTACCATTTTTTGTGCTGTTGATGGCAACATATTCTCAATTTGTGCCGTTTGGACCCAAAGGAAAAGAGAGTCGAAAGGAGTCCCAAACAGTGCTCTAAACCGAGCTCAGTCCCACGGGCCTCATCCACCTGCGCAGCAACGATTTCAAACAACGACCGAAGACCCACCGAAAAAGGTGCCTCTGAGAGCGTATTACCAAGCCAAGCACCACGAGCATCAACAAAAACTATGGCAAAAGCTCAATGATAACAACATGAAACCATTACTGTATATATATTATTATTATTATTATTACTATATATTATTATTACTATTAATTTATTTTTATTATTGTTACAGTATTACTATTATCATCATTACCCCCCTTATGTACATACTATGTATACATTTGTTGTTAGTTAAACGCATGTATGTATACAAATAACTTGATATGCCCGTGGTATCAGTCACCTTCTTCCGGTTGACATTGAACATTCGCCCGAAGACCATCTCCGAGACGTTGGAGGCGGTGGCCGACTGCTTGGATCGACCCGAAGCCATGGAGGAACGGGAGACGCGAGAGGAGCTTGCCTGGGGCGAGAGGAGCACTGCAACCGTGCATAGCCATGGCCTCCGAGCTAGAGATGACCTCCAACCTACTAGCTAAAATGGTCAAGCGGTGCCTCGCAGAAACCTCTGTATCCGGTCCCATGCTTGATGGAATCGACAGTCAGAAACGGTCATAGCATCGCAAGGATTTGACCCAGTCACAGAAACTGTTTAAATGTCTGCTACGGACAGGTGGCCTGTTCCAACATGTTCCAACGAGACTATATATCCTAGCTGATGTTGTGAACAGTGGCCCGCGGGAAGCCGCAAAAGGATGTTACGTTGAAGGTGAGGTTAGTTGACCATAGACAACAAATCAAATGCAATATTCATGATTATTATATATGGTATTCCTCTCAGCGGGCTTGGTGTGGTTTGGGCATTGCCACGGGTATCACTTGGGCAGGGGTATACTGGTCTAGCCGATCTAGCATCCCTATTCCACCTTTTTGCACCGCGACACAAAAAGAAAGCGGACGTAGACTCGGACGTAGCCGCCAAGTGGCTTTCAAATCTCTGCTGGTACTGATACGTGCCACTTTGTTTTCAGGAATCTCCACGTGAATCACGCTAGGTGGCCGTGCCCGAGCACCAGGAATACCGACGCCTGGGCTCATCATACCCGTACTCATCTGCTGATCCCAATTCACGGAGAAGGTCCCCGACTGTGTCCCGTCGTAAGTCTCCTCAGCCTTGCCTCGGCTTTGATGAGCTTCCCAAATGAATGATTGATTGAAACATGTTGTGTGTGCCGTCGTTGGTGCAACATACTGCAAAGACATAATAATAGTCACAATAGCACTTGAGCGGGGAAACACGAAAGGTAGAGACGGACCGAGTAGCTGTCGGGACCTTTTCTGGTGAGGGACTGTCTCCGGTGTTTCAGGAACGTGCCCCTTGGTCAATCATGGATGAAACCAACAAAGCCAGAGAGCACAAGAAGGCATAAGAAGGCTCAAGAGGAACTCCGTTGCGGTCAGATTGCGCCACACGGCTCTGCAGAGAGGCTGCGTTGCGTCGACGCTCGTTTGTGTCTAGGTGTGTGAAAACAGGCGCGCGTAAAAGTCGCAATGCGTAAACGCTCGCATGTGTACCAGCTATGGTCCCACAGCTGCACGCACTGTGTCAGGATTACAGGCCTGCGCGCGTTGCGTCGAAGCCGCAGTGACTCAGTGACCAACCCCCTTGTAAGGATAGTGCTGGAGGGGTGCGGCCGGTACTGCCAGGGATGGACATCACGCTATGGTGGGTGTGCTCCACGATGCGGTAAGATTTCGCCACGCTAGGGTGTAAGGCTGAGTCGAACGGTGTTCCGCGACGCGAGGGGTTTCTCCACAGGGCTTTGCAGAGAGGCTGTGTTGCATCGATGCTCGTTGGTGTCGAGCAATATGGTCCGTGAACGCAGTACGCGCTGTGTCAGGCTGCCGGGTGCGCACGCGCGGCATCGAAGCTGCATTGCGCGATCTCATTGCGCAGGGTTCGTGCTGTATTGCGCAACCTCATGGCCAGCGTCGTGCTGCTGTGACTGTTAAGCGCATGACTTCACCTTATGTCCAGAATTTAGTAGTGCTGGCGACGAGGGGAGGGGACGGGGAGGGGAGTGGAGGGGAGGGGAGTGGAGGGGGTGAAAGAGTGACTAGGGCGTACACGGTTGAGGTGCAGACCGCTAGTGTCTTTTATACGCAGAGTCTTATCCTCTTGAGCCTTATGGCAGTCAAGCATGGACACACTAGATAGGCCACTGGAGTGGAACCTGTACAAGTAGGCCTCTACATTTCAGCAGGCACAAAATTCATGTCCACTCCTGCCTATTGCGTATGTCGCACACTATTTTTCTA